CTTCACAATCATCTTTGATGTCATCTTTAAAGCAAAGAATGATCTTTTCTAGAAATGTTTTTTGTGTACTCTATTATCCAACATATGCTTGCAATATGATCCCTAGTCCCTCTTCCTTTTCTGAATCTAACTTGGACATCTGGCATACGTAGTAAATAAAACTGTAGTAAAGAAATGCTATTCATCTTTTTAAAATGCCAAGAAGCTGGAGATACCAGAGACTGCCCTTGCAATTTTCTGTATGCTAAGCATACATCTGACCTGTGTGGCCGTTGTTTCCTCTCAATAAAATGTGTAGCACTATAATGAAAGGCACCATCCAGGTGTTTGGGACCACACACTTGATTCTTCACAGCTGATGGAAGCTGGAGTTCAAAATGCCTGGGAGACACTCCATTAAGGGGAATGCTGCTTCAAATGATTTACAAGCAATATTGACAAGCACTAGGCCCATGATATCATAAGCGGAATGTATTGCTGCTCTTTCTTTTTTGTTCAGCTTTGTGACCTTTCAGATCAGGTCAGCTTTTAGCACTATGGACAGAAACTCAAGAATGTGAGCTGAATGGTCAGGACTGACTCAAGACTTCTTTTCTGCCTGAAGGAAGGCAGGAAATAATAACTATCCACTCCTCCAAATTAGGGGTATAGTATCCACAGCCAACCAAAGTGTTTTAGTACATGAAGCAGAAATCTGACAAACGCAACTCCTCCTCTCTAAAAGTAAAAATACAAGAAGCAGAACAACTTTTGCCTGATGACAGGACTGGCCCTCAGTGAATCACAAAGTCCTAAATAATTACCAGTACCCAGTGGGTTAAATAGTAACAGAGGAATAGTTAAGATGAGATGCACTGGACACTAAGAGTGGATTGACATGAATATCCATGGATATTTTAATACATGTCAACACTGCACAAATCTACTGTACGTTGGTCTCATGACCCAGTTTTCCAAGAAAATGCCTGTCTCTGCTCTAAGACAATAGCTTGAGTATAAATATTCAAAACTAGAAGAAGAGAAAGAACAGTAACAATGCCTCTGAATGGGCGTGTGAAAAGATCACTCTGTATAGAAAGCTCTGGGATAAGTCGCTGCACCCCTAACTGCTCTGTCCCAGTTTCCCCATCTGCTCCCTTTTGTTCTTTAGCCTTTGCCACCTGTTCGCCTGTCTCTCCCATTTGGCCCCCTTTCCCCAGTCTGTATTATTTTTGAATTTCCCCACAGTTAACCCTCTTCACACGCACAGCACACTTTTCCTTTCTATTTTATACCATATTCTTGTTTTTGCACATGTGTTCTCCCCTGCCCCTTCTAGGGGCACGTGCCCTAAACTGCTGCCCTAGCAGGACCATTACTTTGGGCTTCAGATTAAATCCAATAGTTCTCTAGCTAAGTTGGCCTACAGCTGCCACTTCAAATGACCCACCTAACATCCTTTTGTTTTGGTTTTGTTATTTGCCACCAGGCTTGCCAAAAATAAAAGTTACAGAAAATGAACACATTAAACTACTCTGGGACTTCGGAATTCAGACTGACAGAGTTTTGGAGCACAATACTCCTGACCTCACAATTGTGTTAAAAAACCAAGTATAGATCGTCAATGTTGCAATCGCAGGTGACAGCAGGATTGAAGAGAAACAACTGGAAAAGCTGACACAATATGAGTATTTAAAGACTGAACTGCAAAGACCCTGGCATAAGCCAGTAAAGGTGATCCCAGTGGTGATCAACACACTGGGTTCAGTGCCTAAAGACCTTGGCCTGCACTTAAACCAGTGGTTCTCCACCTTCCTAATGCCATGCCCCCTTAATACAGTTCCTCATGTAGTGGTGACCCATAACCATATAATTATTTTCGTTGCTACTTCATAGCTGTAATTTTGCTACTGTTATGAATTGTCATGTAAATATCCAATATGAAGGATGTATTTTCATTCACTTGACCAAATTTGGTACAAATACCTGAAACACCCAAATTTGAATACTGTTGGGGTTGGGAGGGGTTGATTTTGTCATTTGGGAATAGTAGTTGATGGGATTTATAGTTAGCCTACAATCAAAGAGCATTCTGAACTCCACCAATGATGGAATTGATCCAAACTTGGCACACAGAACTCCCATGACTAACAGAAAATAATGGTTTTGGTGGTCACTGACCTTTAGTTTGGGAATTGTAGTTCACCTACATCCAGAGAACACTGTGGGCTCAATCCATGATGGATCTGGACCAAACTTGGCACAAATACTCAGTATGCCCCAAATGTGAACACTGGTGGAGTTTGGGGGGAAAGGACCTTGGCATTTAGGAGTTCTAGTTGCTGGGATTTATAGTTCACTTACAATTAAAGAGCATTCTGAACCCCACCGACAATAGAATTGGGCCAGACTTCCCACACAAAACCCCCCATGATCAACAGAAAATACTGTGTTTTCTGATGGTCTTTGGTGACCCCTCTGACACCCCCTTGCAACCCCCAGGTTGAGAAACGCTGACTTAAACACAATCAGCACTTACAAAATTATAATCTGTCAACAGCAAAAGGCCACCTTACTGGGATCTAGGATTGCCAATACATCACACAGTCCTAGACGCTTGGGAAGTGTCTGATGTGTGATCCAATGCAACAACCAGCATAGTGATCTTGTTTGCTGTGTTCTAATCTTGTTATGTTTCAAATGACAACAACAACCTCAATAACAACAATAACAACTTTATTCTTATATCGTGCCACCATCTCCCTGAAGGGACTCAGGACCAAGCCCAAAAAAATGATTTATAGAGTTACAGGCTTATTAATGAAATACTTTTTCAGGTTATCAACTGTTCTATTCATGTCTTCCAAATTCCGGGCTGCTGCTTTCTTAATAGAGGCAATCCATCTGTGATGTGATTGCCCTCTTTTCCTTTCCCTACTGCCTTCCACTTTACGGGTGTCAGACCAATTTTCATGGAGGGCCACTTCAGTCTTACGGTTGCCTACAAAGGGCCATGTGCAATTGGAATACTGTAAAAATGTAATTATGTTTCACTGGATTCAAAAGACTGACAGGTCACATAAGATGAAGTGGGCCTTGTGTTTGACATGTGTGGGTTAGATCTAATGGACTGAAGTTGTAGGAGGATGGGGATATTATTTTGAACTTTTTGACAATAAGAGCGGTTTGCCAAGGGAACCTATTGTGGCGGCGTCTCTTTCTCCAGATATCTTCAAAAGGAGTCTGGGCAGCTATCTGCCAGGGATGGTTTGCCGGGAGATCCTGCAGGAAATTGGAGTTGATGGACAGAGGAAGCTTCTTCCATATATAGGAGTTAGGACTTTTGCAGTGAGTATCTCTCCACAGGTGTCCATGGTCCAATAGCCTCTGTTTAGTCAGTATGGTTTTTCAGGAGAGTTCAGGAGACATGATGAACATATCTGAGGGGAAGTCATAGGGAGGAGGGAACAAGCTTCCTTTCTGCTGCCCTGGAGATGACGCAGGCTTCAAACTACAGGAAAGGAGATTCCACCTGAACATGAGGAAGAACTTCCTAACTGGGAGATCTGTTCAGCAGTGGAACTCTCTGCCCCGGAGTGTGTTGGAGGCTTCTTCTTTGGACGCTTTTAAACAGAGGCAGAATGGCCATCTGTTGGGGGTGCTTTGAAAGTGATTTTCCTGCTTCTTGGCAGGGGGTTGGACTGGATGGCTCACAACTCCAACTCAGTGATTCTATGCTTCTATATGCTGTAGATCAGACATTGGCAAACTTTGTGCCTCTAGGTCAGTGTTTCTCAACCTGGGGGTTGGGACCCGGGGGGGGGGGTTGCGAGGGGGTGTCAGAGTGGTCCATCAGAAAACACAGTATTTTTTGTTGGTCATGGGGGTTCTGTGTGGGAATTTTGGCCCATTTCTATTGTTGGTGGAGTTCAGAATGCTCTTTGATTGTAGGTGAATCCCAGCAACTAAAACTCCCAAATGTCAACGTCTATTTTCCTCAAACTCCACCAGTGTTCACATTTGGGCATACTGAGTATTTATGCCAAGTTTGGTCCAGATCCAGCATTGTTTGGGTCCAGAGTGCTCTCTGGATGTAGATGAACTATAACTCCCAAAGTCAATACACAGCAAACCCCTTCAAAATGTTCTGTCGGTCATGGGAGTTCTGTGTGCCAAGTTTGGTTCAATTCCACCACTGGTGGAGTTCAGAATGCTCTTGAATTGTAGGTGATCAATTCCAGCAACTACAACTCCCAAATGACAAGATCAATCTCTCCCAACCCCACCAGTATTCAAATTTGGGTATTTCTGCCAAATTTGGTCTAGTGAATTAAAATACATTATGCATATCAGATATCTACATTACGATTCATAACAGTAGCAAAATTATAGTTATGAAGTAGCAACGAAAATAATGTTTTGGTTGGGGGATCACCACAACATGAGGAGTTGTATTAAGGGGTTGTGCCATTAGGAAAGTTGAGAAACACTGCTCCAGGTGTTTTGGACTCCAACTCCCATCATTCCTAACAGCCTCAGGTCCTTTCCTTTTCCCCCTCAGCATAAGCGGCTGAGGGGGGAAAAGGAAGGGGCCTGAGGCTGTTAGGAATGGTGGGAGTTGGAGTCCAAAACACCTGGAGGGCCGAAGTTTGCCCACGCCTGCTCTAGAACCCTTTATTTGACCTTGTGTGTGTTCTGTATTACCTTGAAATGTCCCCTCAGCGCCCCCTGCTCCCCAAATACACACACACAGCACCCTTTCTCCTTTCCATTTCCCTCCACCTTCTTCTCTTCTCCGCCTGTGTTCCTCTTCGCCCTTCAGCCTCGGGAGCCAAATCCCCTTGAAGCCAAAGGCAGGGAAGGTGAGAGGGTGAGGGCGACCGCTCCGTCGGTGGCTCCCGCGCATGCGTAGGCGGCTCCCTTGCCCGAGGAATGTGACCCCGGGCGCTGGGCAAGTCCCAGACTCTAATCCCAGCGAGTCGCCCGCGCGAAGAGCAGAAGCAAGAGGCAGCGGCGGCGGCGGCGGCGGCGGCGGCGCACCTGTCACCTGCAATCAGGCCACGCGCTTCCTGAGGAGGTCAGCCGGCATGGCAGAGGCGCGCCAGGCGGGGGAAGGCGGAGAGGCGGCCACGGAGGAGGACCGAGCCCGCGTGGAGCCCGAGGGAAGCGGCGTCGAGGCGGGAAGAGGCGAAAGCCTTGAGGGAGAGGCCCAGGTCCTCGAGGCAAGGGAAGAAGGGCAGCCAGGAGAAGGAGGAGAAGGGGGAGAAGAAGAAGGGGCGCGGGACCCAGAGCCTGAAGGGGTCGAGGAAGCCCGGGAAGAGGAGCCGGGCGAAGCGGAGGAGCAGGGAGAGAAGCCACAGCCTGAGCCAGAGGAGCAAGGAAACGGGAGGGAGGAGGGAGGAAAGCGGGAGGGAAGTGAGGAAGGCACCGCCACTGAACCCCCAAAGGATTGGGTTGAGGAGGGGAGGGGCGGAGAGGGAGTCCCAAGAGAAGAAGCAGATGCCGCCCTTGAGCCCCAGGAGGACGCACAGGGCGCGGAGGAAGGGGGAGAGGGAGCCCCAAAGGGAGAGGAAGAAGGAGAGGTGGAAGAAGGGCTGGAGGCGGGAGAGGGAGCCCCCACCCCTGAGCCCCAAGGCGATGCTGCAGAGGGACAGGGCGAAGGCGAGGCGGAGGGCACCCTGAGGGAAGGAGACGTGGCCGCAGTTGAAGCCCCTGAGCATCTTGAGGGGGATCCAGAGGAAGGAGAGGAGCTGGGGGAGGGAGGCCAGGAAGGAGACCCAGGAACCCCAGGAGGAGGAGGAGGAGGAGGAGGAGGTGCCGCCTCTGAGCCCCAGGAGGAGGCTGAAGGGAAGGAGGAGGAAGCAGAGGGAGCCCCAAGAGGAAGCGGCGAACCTGAGACCCAGGAGGAAGAGGCAGGAGCCCAGGAAGGGGACGGGGGAACTCCAGGAGGAGGAGGAGGAAGAAGCGTCACCCCTGAGCCCCGAGAGGAGAAGGAAGCCGAGGAGGAGGCAGGAGAGGGAACCTCAGGAGGAGGAGGAAGCGTCATCCCTGAGCCCCAAAAGGAAGAGGAGGCAGGAGAGGAAGCTCCAGGAGGTGGGGGAGATGCTGCCCCTGAACCCCAGGGAGTTGCAGAGGAGAGTACCAAAGAAGAAGAAGAGGCTGAGGAGGGCACCAAGGAAGAAGAGGCAGGAGCGGAGGAAAGGGACTCCGCAGGAGCTCCGCCGCCAGAAGAGGTGCAACTGGAAGGAGGCTCCTCCAGCGAGGCTCAAGGGGAGGAGAGGAGGGCTTCGGTCGAAGGGGGAGACGCGGGTGAGGGCACCCCGAAAGAAGAAGCAGCCTCTGCTGATGAACCCCAAGGGGACCCTGAGGCGAGCGCAGAGGGAGCGGAAGAAGAGGAGGAGGAAGGCCACCAAGCCCAGGGATCCTCTTCAGGGACCCAGGAAAGAGAAGCTGCCCTGGAGGTGAACGGCGTGCAAGGAAAGGAGGAGGAGGAGGAAGAAGATGCGGCGGAGGGGGAGCCCGTCCCGCTCGGCCCGCCTTTGGAGGAGAAGCAAGAGCACGACATCTCCCTCTTCGTCAAGGTAAGGGCCCTTCTTTCCTTTCAGGGTGGCTCGGAGTCGCAGCTTGGTTTTGCCCGGCTGGTCTTATGGGGCCCTCCTGAATATGGACAGCAAGTGGGCCACATCCCAGGGCTCCCCACACCACGTTGCTGTTTATTCCTTCAGTCGCTTCCGACTTTTCGTGACCTCATGGACCAACCCACGCCAGAGCTCCCTGTCCGCAGTCACTACCCCCAGCTCCTTCAGAGTCAAGCCAGTCACTTCAAGGATACCATCCATCCGTCTTGCCCTTGGTCAGCCCCTCTTCCCTTTTCCTTCCATTTTCCCCAGCACCATTGTCTTCTCTAAGCCTTCCTGTCTTCTCATGATGTGGCCAAAGTACTTCATCTTTGCCTCTACTATCCTTCCCTCCAATGAGCAGTCAGGCTTATTTCCTGAAGTATGGACTGGTTGGATCTTCTCACGGTCCAAGGCACTCTCACTGTGCCCGACAAATGCACAGTTTTGGACTAGTCGAACACTTAAGGCAGGCATGGGCAAATTTTGGCCCTCCAGGTGTTTTGGACTTCAACTCCCACAATTCCCAACAGCTGGTTTGCCCATGCCTGGTTTATGGTAGTTTTACACTGCAGTCCACGGTCCCATACAGGCTGGGGAAGTTCATGGTCCCACCATTTCTTGATCCCTATTTCAGCAACAATGTGTGTCACAGGTTATTTCCCTCCAAGCATGGAACAATGTCAGATGGGGACCTTCCCCCTCCTAGTTTGGAGTTGGGGGCTTGTGTCTAAACTCCTGCCCTGGCAACACCATTCGTATTAACTAATATAGGCCCCTTCTACACTGCCATATAAAATCCAGATTATCTGCATTGAATTGGATTATCTGGCAGTGTAGACTCATGTAATCCAAAGCAGGTAATGTGAATTATTTGATTTGATAATCTAGATTATATGTCAGTGTAGAAGGGAGCAATTAAAGTTTGCCTACAACTGCTTTTCAAATGCACAGTAAAGACCCACCTGACACCCTTTCATTTTGGTTTTGTTATTTGCCATCAAATAATGCATGTGGCGCAGTGGGTTAAGAACTTGCTGACGGAAAGGTTGCTGGTTTGAATCCAAGGAGTGGGGTGAGCTTCCGCTGCTAGACCTAGCTTCTGCAAACCTAGCAGTTCAAAACATGAAAATGTGAGTAGATCAAATAGGCACTGGTTCTGTGATAAGGTAACTGTGCTCCTTTCAATCATCATGTCCACATGACCTTGGAGACATCAATGGACAACGCCAGCTCTTCAGCTTAGAAATGGAGATGAGCACAAAGTTCCAATGAACTTATAAATGAGAGATCCCCTAAAGTCCACACCATCAACAGCCTTGCTCAGGTTTGGCAAACTCAAGGCTGTTGCTTGCTTTACAAAGGCAATCCACCTGTAATGTAGTGCCCTCTTGTCCTACTGCCTTCCACTTCACCAGCATTAATGACTTTTGCAGGACCCCTAGTTGATATTGTGTCCATAGTACTATAGGCTCCATTTAGTCAGTTTGTTTTCTAGTAAGAGTTCAGGACTCATACATTCTAGGTCCTTTATTTGTCCTTTTTTTTTTTGGGGGGGGGGAACCCATGGCTTCAGTCAAATTGTCCTCAAGTACCATGACATCAGGAGGTTATTATTAATGTTATTATAATTTTAGTTTTTTTGCTAACTTTCATAGCTGGTTAAATATGTCAGATGAAAAGTTAGTTTTTCAAAAGTTACAAGCAGTCGCCGAGTTTAAAACATCCAACTTACAAATGACTTATATTTAAGAACAGAAGTGAGACAACAGGAAGTGAAAGAAACCTACCCCTAGGAAGGGAAATTCACTCCTGAAAGAGTTGTCATGGGGAAAAGGTGTCTTCACTGAAACTTTTTTTTTTTTACCAATCCTTGATTTCATAACAAGCCAAAAATTTCAAAATCCAGTGATCACAAGGACAGAAAGTGAGGTGAAATCTTTTGAACCAGGACACAGACAGCAAAACAAACACCACAGGAGTATTAAGCCTTTCTTGTGCTACCTAAAGATATATAAGTGTGGAGTTACACTTAAAACATATCTCTTCTGACTTACAAACAAATTCAACTTAAGAATCTCCATAACCTATATTGTTTATAACTTGGGGACTAACAGTATTTTGTTACATAGATTTCAGATAAATCTGATTTTAAGTTGCTGATTACATAGTTGTTGTTGGTTGTTGTTGTTGTTGTTGTTGTTGTTGTGTGTATTCAAATAATTTCCAAGTGATGTTGACCCTTTCATAGGGATTTCTGGGGCTGAGAGTGTATGTTTTGGCCAAGGTCACTCAGTGGGTTTCTGTCTGTTAGGAACAATAGATCTGAGAAGTAGTAACTACATTGTCAATAAGAAGTAAAACAATACAAAAATAAGGTATAGTGTAGTATATAGCATAATTGGCTCACTTTAATGATTCCCAATGTTTTTAAGTGCAAAATCAACCAGATTTGTGGTTTGGTGTTTGTGTACAGAGCTTTATTGTTCCTGTTGGTAAGTTTTACTCATTGTTTCAGGTTCTCATAGTGTTCTTGTTTTGAAGCTCTGTGGTACCTACTGGGATTTAAACTGTTCTGTAATGGAAAATCAGTCTCTGTAAACATCTGCAAAATTACAAGTTACATTGGTATGTTTTCCTGCAAAACAGTGATGCGTTATCAGTATAGATCAGTGTTTCTCAACCTTCCTAATGCTGCGACCCCTTAATACAGTTCCCCGTGTTGTGGTGACCCCCAAACATAAAATTTTTGGTGCTGCTTCATAACTAATGTTGCTACTGTTATGAATTGTAATGTAAATATCTGATATGCAGGATGTTTTTTTCATTCACTGGACCAAATTTGGCACAAATACTGGATACATCCACATCTGAATACTGGTGGGGTTGGGATTCTTGATTTTGTCATTTGGAAGTTGTAGTTGCTGGGACTTAAAGTTAACCTATAATCAAAGAGCATTCTGAACTCCACCAATGATGGAATTGAATCAAACTTGGCACACAGAACTCCCATGACCAACAGAAAACACTGGAAGGGTTTGGTGGGCATTGACCTTGATTTTGGGAGGTGTAGCTCACCTACATCCAGAGAGCACTGTGGACTCAAACAGTGATGTATCTGAACCAAACTTGGCACAAATACTCAATATGCCCAAATGTGAACATTGGTGGAGTTTGGGAAAAATAAGACCTTGATATTTGGGAGTTGTAGTTGCTAGGATGTATAGCTCACCTAGAATCAAAGCTCAATCTGAACCCCACCAATGAGAGAATTGGGCAGAATTCCCACACGGAACTTTTATGACCAACTGAAAATACTGTGTTTTCTGATTGTCTTTGGTGACCCCTCTGACACCTTCTCACGACTCCCCCCCCCCAGGAGTCCCAACCCCCAGGTTAAGAAACACTGGTATAGATCAACCTGAAAGTTGTTGCCCATACACGCATGGCAGCTTGAACCCCATGTTAACCTGGAACAGAGATTACAGCTCATTAAAAAACCCATTAGAACCATAGTGAAAAATCTGTGATGTTTTAACCAAAATGTAGATCTGGTTAAAACTTTTTCTCATGCTACATTTTAAATTTATGACAATCACTTCACTGATTGCAAAGGCATATGGCGGACCCTTGGTATTCTCTGGGGTTTGGTCCCAGGACCCCTCCTGGATATCAAAATCTGTGGGTACTTAAGTCCCCTTATATGCATTGCCATAGTACAATGGTGTCTTTTTTTTTTTATAAAACCACAAAATCAAGGTCTGCCTTTTTAATGCTTAAGAAAATATTTTGAAGACATGGATAGTTAATACATGGTTGCAGAATCTGTACTTATTTTTGTTATTATGAGTAGTAGATATTAGGCTTGGGCAGTTTCGTTCGTTAATTTCGTAATTTGTTATTAATTCGTATTTAAATTAGCTTACGATCCAATATTGAGCCATGCAGGACTACTGTGAGGATTAATTAAAAATCGAAACAATGTTTCCAATTTATTTCGTATTGTTTCGTAATTGTTTCGTAATTGGTTCAAAATTGTTTTGAAATTGTTTCGAAATTGTTTCGAAATTATTTCCGTATGTCTGGTGCAAGTTTTATAGTTGTTGTTTGTTTTATCAGTGATAAAAAAATATTATCACACCAACAGTCAACAACAGAGGGAGAGGGAAGCTTCAGAAGTCCCCCCTGTCCCATTTGGAGGGTTTTTTAGCATATTGTGCAATCGCGTCCGCCATTAACGAATCGATTCGTAATTTTATGAAATTTCATATATTTCGAACTCTTTTAAAGGAAAATTTTGGAATTCTTTAAAGAAACGAAATGCAAGGGCCCCCCTAAAAACGAAACGAGTATAGAACCAAATTTTTCCGTGGTTACCCAAGCCTAGTAGATATGTTTAGAGATTTGTTAGCTGGGTTTCTTTACCTTGCAAACAGTTACAAAAAAGTGTTATACAGGAAACATCTTGTGCTACTACTTGATATAAAAAAATACTTGATATTTTTGATATCAAAAATCCTCATAATCATTTCTTATTTGCACATACCAACATTTTATTAATGACTGTACATAAATTAAAGAAATGTAAATGCCCTGCTTGCAGGCTTGCTGCATAACTTGCAACTTAACATCTCCAGCCTCTTATGATGCAGACATGAAGGTGAAAAGCAGTCGGGGAGGGTACAATCCAGATAATCTATGCAAGTAGGTGCACCTGAGGCGAAATATGTGATCAAATAACAATCCCTCTACTTGGCAGTAAAATAAAGTCATAATGCACTGAATAATTGCAGGCTGCTGGCCTTTCATGACATCCAAATAAATGGCCGCAGGTATTTAGGATTGAGGTATCATTTGGATCTGTCCCTGTACAAATGAAGGCCAGATCTTGCAAAAATTATTTGAGAGCATTTAGTGTTGCCTTAAGCTCAAAATCTGGTGACTGTCGCCTTTTAGGATTTTGG